ATGTGAATTGTAATCTACCTGAAAAGTATTGCTATGTATCGCTAGCTATTGTAATGAAAATATGGTTGATGCATAGTGATACCAAGTGTCAATAGCAAGTGATTTTAAGCTATAGCAAGAGCTTGCACTAGATAGTGTTATAAGTTCTGAACTAGAATTATTATTCATCAATAGAATCTGACATTCCATACTACTTAATACACGGCTGGGCCCTCTACTCCACTATTGCTGCTGCCTATCTGTCATTAGCAGTAAAATTCAAAACTTGATGAGCTCTTGACACAGCTGACCCTAAACTCATGTAATACTCCATGCTGATGCAGTTGAGACATCTTGACTCTTAGAAGCTCAATCACTCAGATAATGAACATGTTGTTCTCAAGTGTGTTTAAAGCTCAACTTTCCTTTCTTCCTTTCCCTCCAAAGTATATACCTTGCTCTTTCTGCTTCTCTAAAAAACACAAACAGAAAGCAAAGGATTTCATATGTTCATTGAGTTCTAGTAGTGTGTAGTGATTTACATCCAGGGCATCCCAAACCTCAGGTAATCTGAGGATACTCAAGAGGCCATCTTTACATACAAAGGTTACCTCTGTCTATTCCATAGTACAATTGCCATCAACTAGACAGTGCTCAGTACAGCTTTCGATACTCATTACTGGGGCCATTTTTGATATCTCTCATTGTTATGTACAGTGAATCTCTATTGAGCAAACATAAATTGAGATCTTCAAACTGAGTTGTGGCTCAGTTAGTAAGGTAGATTTATTGTATAGAATAAATGCAGATAACACTCGGAATTGAGTGTCATTGTTAAGGGAGAAAACTTCAGGTTGTACATGCTAACTGTTAAACGTCAAGAATTCGAATTCGGGCCTGCTTGCACCCAAAAGTACGGGCCTGATTTTATATATTGAATCGTGGCTTGGTCATAGCAGGTTGTGAGAAGTATATACTACTGCCGTTGAGTGCCGACTCCTGTACTACACTATGCAATAATCTTTTAACTCATATATGTAACTGGTGACAGGCTTGCCTGTGGGTGGTATTAAATTTCAAAACTATGATAAGTCTATTATGAGACTATTATACTAGTAAACTGTTCTATAACTGCACTGACCCAGGTTGTAACCAAAGGGCATAGCATCCTTCTCAAATCTTGCTATATTGACTCTTGTTTTAAGGAAGCCAAAAGGTGACCATAGGCTCAGAGAGCACCACTCCTCAGGCTCTCGGGAATGATAGATATGAGCCCCTCACAGTCGTGCCTGTCTACGCGCTACCACCCAGTATCGTCTTTCTCTACTTCCGAGCCAGTATCCGACATTTTTCATCGGAGACGAATCATGTCTTTTCAAAACTGAACTTCTAGACACAGGTTCAGATGACGCGTTGTTTCTACTTGGAGAGGCCACTATAATGTCCACACCCCCCAAAACCACAGCCGCCATGACAAAAAAATCATGATGTGAGTTTTTTTCTGGTGAAAAAGACACGGTTTGGATTTGTTTCTCCTACCTTGGTGGACCCTGTTAGATAGAGAGTGATGAGCGTGTCATTTGTTTCACCTCGATGGCTGGAAACATTGAGCACCTTCGATCAACTATCGATTCATGTTATTCAAGGCGCAGGATCCGATGGTCAAAGTGAGATATACATGAGTACGATGAGGAATAATCCAAGGCGGCGACCGAAGAAATGATTTTGTGAATGGATGGAAACCAAAGAATGATTGATGGTGCTCTTTGAGCAGCCAGAAATCGGGTGGTTGTATCTTAGGTTTGGGCCACCATAATTCTCATCGATCAATGAGTCACTGAGTGCAAGTACAGAATGATACATGTACCAGATTCTGCTATGAATATGATAGAGGTTCTCGAGTTCACAGATTACCTTCATACCACTGAACAATAGGGTCGGCAGATGTCAAAATAAAGCGGACCTTGTTTGTATCGTGAACAGAAAATGGGAACAGGATTGAATAGAGGACCATCAAAGGTTGGAGAATGGTCAACGAGCAGAAGTGAACGAGGTTTCAGTTTGCAACAGGCGAGTGTAAGGGGTGGTGTGATATTTAAACTTATTATCCCACTCTCCATTCATTCATGAGATTTAAAAATCTTCTCAACGTCGCGCCGTCTACCATGTATGACGATACTACCCCAAAGTTCGACGTTCAAGCCTCTCCTATCCTTCAATCGAAACTCGGATTCCATAATAAATCCTCATCTATGGCCGACTTCATGGTGTCCTTTAGACGATAAGGAATAGCGGCGACAAAAATCACGAATCACCGTTACAGTGCATCACCTAATCCTGGACTGGAACTTGAAGGGATTCTGTTGCTCAGCAGTCGCCGGGACCAACCCCGAACTGAGCACAGCAGGAAAAGTAAACGTTGGAGGGAGAGCAAGAGGTATATTTCGCGAAATGAAGGTATTGCGGAGATCCCCCAAGTCGAAAACCCAGGGAAGTGGTTCTAATCGTGACAAAAAGCCCGACCATGTTCAGTTGCGCGCCACATCAATTCTCCAGTGATGCTTTCGTGGAGAAATTAACAGTCCCAAATCCATTACTCGGCAAAGGAAAAACTCCATCAACACGTCCCCAACTGGCCGCAGGGTATGTTGACTTCAACAGTCAGTGACATGCCGACAAAACCCACCAAAGTAGGATACTCACGAACAACACGCGAGAACGATGTGGCGCGAAGGGGGGCGGTCATCAACGCCGCTGACGGAGCCTAGGCTATAGCATAACCGAGCCTAATCGCAGGTGAGCTAGCACACGAAAATCGGCAACAGAGAAGGATCATGAGATCACTCCCTGGCAGATAGGAACATCCCGCCAAAAGTATCGTGTCCACATTCCATCCCGTCGACCACCATCTATGTAGTAGTAGAAATTCAAGCTCTCCCGGATACGAATGACGATGACCCGAAAGTATCAATCATTTGTCAGTAGCCAATCGATTACCGCCAGCAGATCAACCACAACTGAGCGTTCGACGACACGCTGCATCGATGACAATGTTATATTGTGAGTGAGGAATGGTGGTGGAAATGCCGGCAAAGAACACACCAGAGTACGCTCTCCAGTGGCCTTTCGCAATAGTTCCGAATCTAACGAAGGTGACGAAAAGACTTTGACTGAGAAAGGCAAATCGCCTCCCGTCGCCAAGGATTTGGGGTCAAAGCGTACGGAGGAGCTTACCATAGGTTACCACCGAACAAAAACCCAAACCTGTTTTTGGACTCATCCTCCATCCCCTCGAATGAACCTCAAGCACGAGCCTCAGATGTAGGAGAATGCTTATAATTAGATGACAAGTATGACGCTAGCGCGCGATGTTGTGGGTGAGTGAGGTGTCGGCGGAAGGAGAAGTGCGCCCTCCGGGGTGTTCGCAGAGGCTCTAAATCAATCCACAGCAAGAAATGGAGGGCATTGGAACGAATAGCTGTGGATCCCGGTAGAGTGGCCCACAATGATGGCGAGAACTGCTTTGACCTCATCACGAACAAATAAACGTTTGAACTTCCTTCCGGAGATTCGATCACGGACATCGACAGTTGATGTGAGAGCGCTAACCACGACAGCCTCCAAGTAAGCGCCGTTACCTCATGAGTGAGGTAAAAGGAGGTGTTATGAGGAAATTGTAACGAGCGAGGACTGTTCGAACTGGGCGACCGCTGTAAGGAAACTCAAGGTGGAAGCCCGTAAGGAAAGTTATCAGAACAATCTATTGTCAGGGTGGGACGAGCACGAGATTGGCATTGGGCCACATCATCTCCGAGAATTGAAATGATAGCGTGCTGGAAGGTACGATGTTAAGATTGTGATATGCACTAGTAGTGAGGGCGGGAAATACAATGGTGGGTGGTGGGATTGAGCGAGGTTCGCCGGCCAACGATCGATAGCAGCTCTTCTAAAGTCTTGTCGCTGCGTTATGCATGTAGAGGTTCCAGCTCATCGACAGGACCAAAAGATCACAAACCTGGATCTGCCAGACTGGCTTCATCATGAATCATGACAACGATTTCTTTCTCCCAGACTTAGGTGACAGATGGAGTACCGTTCTTGCGACAAATGATCTGGAAAGTAGCATATTAGGCTGACTTTGTGACAAAAAAGAGGATATTATATATATCACCTTTCGGCACTATGTCCTCCATTTGAATCCATACTTTCCTCGATATGAGAACTAACTCCTCGTTCCTTGAGCAACATAAGCATCTAATATCTAAAAACGAACGCTAAGATCAACTCTCAAATCAATGGGCTCAAGGATATGACGTACCAGCTACTTTGTGTCCCTTTCATAGACCTTGCCACAGTTCTTCTCATGTCGCAACCCAGACCCCGCCGCGGCGCCCCAACCGTAGCGACGACCTTGAAAAAGATGGAAAGAGGAGAAAGGCTGCACAGAACCGGTTCGAGGTCGTTCAGAGTTATCAACGGAGACTAGACCAAAAGATTAGATCGATAAAGCTTAGGGAAGATGAAGACCACGCACTAGAGAGACCCTACGGGTTTGGCACGGCATCTTCCAAAACCTTTGGCGACTGCGAGAGAGATAAAAACCAAAACTTCAGCTTGACTGCCACCAAAAAAAGATGGTATCGGTCGGACGTTAAAAACTGTGATGTCGAAAAGTGAAAAGCTTCCTTGGGACAATAGGAAACCGAAAAAAACGTGGCCTACTGCAGCGTCTGACTCCCTCCTTCAAGTTTGATCCTCATTGATTGACAGTGGAGGAACTAGTGACAGAGTGAATGCGAGAGATACGTTGCACCGAACAGATGAGGGTGATGGAGGGAGTCAAGTAATTGTGGAGCGTAGCGCTGGGGTTAGCATGCCTCGCGTACGACTATTACTAAGGCGTTCGCTTTCAAGTCTTGATCGCAATCACCCTCCAACGCCGTCTTGCACATGAGACTATGAATCGGGCAGATCCATGACTGCGAAGAGAAAAAAATATGTCAAAAATCGAGGGAGGAAATTGGCCAACGTGGGGATCGAACCCAAGACCTTCACGTTATCAACTGCTGCTGAATTTATATTAGCACGACGCTCTAACCAACTGAGCTAGTCGGCCAGTACTGGATAATGCAAAGCAGAGGTCATCACCACACGCCTGGCCTGCAAAGTTGGGAACGCGGCCCCATCGACGTTAATGTTCACTGGCACCAGTCACCTTCTCACAGTCAACTGTACTCACTCTACCTCAGAGCTTATAGCTCCTATTATTGCAAGGTACGCAAGGAGTACTTTCCATCCGGTAGTTGAAGGTCCCATCACACATCCGGATGGAATGAGAAAATTCAGGACCCGAACTGTGCGCTTTCGTTTTCGAGCCGCAAACGGCCGGGTGAATCTGAAGCACAACAAAAATAAGTCGTGATATATGATATGTTCTGATCATCTTGAGATTGAACAACGCGGTTTCTCCAATAGATTGGAAAGTTGTGCCGAGGGCTTGCAAACAAAACCTCTCTCCGCCGTCGTAAGTCATACTGAATGGGGGGCCCTTGGGAACGATAACCTTCTTACAGAATAGTTTCATCAGTGGCGAATGTTATTCACCTACTAGCTCGGGTCCATCAATGTTAAACTTCGTTCCTCTCCCCCCCTCGTGTGTCGTCAGTAAGAACTCTCGTGTAAGTTGTAACATAATAACCTTTTTTTTCGTATGGACGTATAACGTGTTTAACACGACAGGTTCTGGCCCTGGCATGGCTAAATAACATCGTCAATGAACCGACGCCGCTGTCCGGCACCTCCTGCCAATTCCTGAGCATAAGTAGGTAGTGCTAGTGTAACGTCGGTGATCGGATGATTCATTGTTTATAGTGTTCGTGTTATTCAGATCAACCTCCCCTTGCCAGTTCATGTTTTTCCGGCAAGGGGAATGTTATTTGAAACATATGAATATCTCCGAATAGCAAAGTGGAGGTACCGGGAGGGAAGGGGGTGCTTCAAGAAATATGTTTTTCCGTTTTCAAGTTACGGGTTTGTTTCGCCGCCCGGGACAATCCGGTGGGGGTAAACCGTGGTTCAGTAAAGACCTGGAACTGATGTAACGCAATCACTCTCAGATACGTACAGGTCTGGATAACCCGAGGCCTGGAAAGCCTCTAAATAAACGACGTGTGCGGAGTTGGTGGGCCAAACTCGAAAAAAAATAAAACTAAGTGAAACATACGCAGGTAATAGAAGTAAGTACAAAACAGAACATCCCGAGAGGCGGATGGTTTATTCTTCACTCCTAAATTCACGGCCCTACAGGTGGCGCGACTCATCCAGAAACTTATAATTAACTTGATCAACCCGCGGAATAGCTTGTTGGACGTGAACAATGGAAGTAGGGACCTGGAAGTTGCTCTATTTTGTGGCATACCGTTATGAATTGTCAGATGAAAAGTGTCCCGTCTTTTCACTCAAACGCCATGTACAACTAGTACTCACCGCGGTTGTTTCAGAGTTTGATCCCCTCCAATTTCAATCCCGGGAACAAGGAAGCCAAGGCTCGGTGAGGACGGAGGTCCCGAAGGGCGGTAATTGATATAGGAGCAAGCAGCCAAGCATAAGGGAGAACCTCGTTGAAGCTACGTGGTTTGGGAAACAAGGGATCAGTCCTTTCCGCGAATGGTTTCAAGTAACGATGCTTCCCAAAACCTCCTAATGGTCGGCCTAGTTCCGCAAGCGAATACGCCAGAATTTTGGTTGGCCCTGGAGCATTTTTTGTTCGAAAAGTGCTATCTGATATTGTGAGCCTACGCCTCGTACGATTTGAGAAACGCACAATAAGCGACTAGTGTTACCGTGGTTGTTCTGAGCGGTAATGACAACTGTCATGTTCTGCTTCGCCTAAGAAGAACCGCGCGAATCATTACAATGAATGGATCGAGGGTACTAGAAAATGAATGACAAAACACGGCGATTATGAGAACCAAGCATGTACATCCCGACGCTAAGAGGCCGTCACACGCGCCTTACTATGGAATGACGTCCAGCACTCACTGAGTAAGATGACATTACATTTAACTACTCAATAGCGCTGTGACTAGTCCTTCCTACTAGCACTCGTTTAGTTTCATGACGATCGAATGTAAATCCTGGATCGCGCTACATTCTGGAGGTGAATTGAACGCAAACAAAGAGGAGAGTCGTATGTTAAGCTAACATTCAAACCTCGTTGTGACAGATATTAGTCCCTCTTCTGTTAACACCAGGTGACGGGATGGGGACTATTCATATTACTTTAGGCCTGTAACTGAGCGGTTAAGCTCGTGCCAGTACTATGTGGTGAGTTGGACCAAGAATTGAATGTGCAGTAAGCTGTATCCAGCAGTCGTGCGCGTATCTTCTTCGTATCTCGATAATCGAAGAATAACGAGGGTCTAGTCAAAGATGATGGGTGGAAGAGGGAAAGGCGTAAACTCGGCATGCCCCGAATTGTGGGAACATATCACAGAAAGTTTACGTAACGAAAATAAGCTTTGCCCTCACTCCTTCACGGAAGTCGGGTTTCAGCCGCGTAACTGACCACGTTCAACAGATTCTGCCCTCCGTAGCACAGTGTAACGCTCGAAGCTTCTACCTGTGCCCACGAGAATCAGTATAATCAACAGAAATTCAAGAACGTAGAACTTGGCATCCACGAATCAGGAATTCCTCCTGCCTTGATGCAACTTTTTGGTGCCATTAGAGTGGGAGGGATGTCAAGAATTGCTCGTTCTATTCTTTTCTCAAAGAAAACACGTTTCTTACCTCCAACGACCGGCGATAACCCTCGCGGAGGAAGCAGTACCTGGTCTCGGAGAGCCACTTGGCTCCAATTCGGGGGGGATCAGGAAATTCCAGTATGTATCTGATTATCGAAATCGCCGCCGATATTGAATCTGCCTGTTGGAGCTACGTATGTATGTATTGTCATATGGTCCGCGCATCACAAATGGATCTATATCCACTAGGTTTCGACATCCAGAGCCCTCAGACTTATGATTAATGCTTTGACTTGTTTTTTTCGCTCGATGACCGAGCTAGGCATTAAGTGGAGTGACATGATTGTTACTAACTAGTCGCTGTAGACATCAAACGTTACTAGGAGGATTTCTTTAGATCACCCACCGGCGGTGAAGGCGTCTCAAGAACTGTTTCGGAGAACTGGCTTCCATTCGCTCTTCCTCGATATCAATGCATCACGATCATCTTTGAAATTACTGTAACCTACGAGACCCAGGGGATCCCTCTTTCCATGTGACCTTGTTCAGGTCTTATCACCACTTCCGATGTGGTGACATACTCTTCTAGTGAGGAACAACACATGGTGGAGAGTGGATCGCGATGAACAAGGGGGAGGCAAGGCGCAATTTCCAGATATGAAGTGGTTCACTCTCGTATCCGTATTCGCCTCCTCATAATTAAATAGTCTGATCCGTACTAGGTTGCTTTGGCGCGTTCCAGCCTTTATTCGTGGCGATCGATCTGTTGCTCGAGCTCATCCTTCAAAGTCCGAACATATCATTTTACAAGAAGTGGTATCAAAAGGGAGTTTTGTTTCTTTACGCAAATTTCGGGGGTGGAGTGGGTTTGTTTGGTTTCTCGTCCTTCCGTATGACGGATCGTAGCTTCACGGTGCTGACGCTCTCATTTTGTGCTCGTATTTCTCTTGAAATTGAATCCACCAGCCGAGATAGGTGCTGTTGCAAAGTGAGGGGGGGGGGGGCTCATTCAGTGGCGCTCTTTCAGGTAAGCTTGTTGCATTCGTATCTCGATCACATAGCCCTCAGAATTTGGTTCTCGCTCCTTGAGCCCCTCGGACAGAATGGGGATTACTTGGGAACTCCTTCCCGTTATTGTTCGTCGTTTCTGAGATTCTACAACAGATCAGGTAAAAGAGATCCTAGCGACAGAACTTTAATCAACCAAAAAACTCCGTGAGGACACCCGACGACTCGCGATGAGAATACATCATGAGGCTTCAATGATCGATCCTTCATGGAATGGTAGTAGGTTCCAACTCCTTCTGGTCGCCCTTAATGCTAATGATGTAAGTTTGACAGTCATCACTTGGGGCTGACAACTCTCGGTATGAACCTACCACAAGGGGACGGGCTGAAGAACACGCTAGGAAACGACGCGCGAAGGTCCGTACTAGCTTCCATTCATATTTACCCAAATTGTGTCTGTTTTAATGGATACTGTTACTCACGCGGAACCTCGAGGCTTTTCACTTCACCGCCGGTTGACGCTCGACTCCATCGGTCAGGTGTAATACACGCAACACAGACCCTTCTAGCTCCAGTCCAGTAATCTGACAGGACTTGGACAGCACCCGCGGGATCGTCCCCCCTTTGATATTCGTTTCCCGTGCTACTGATAATCATTGCAATGTGGTCCATATGTCATCTCTTTACTATCCATTTTGTTAAGACCCTAACTCAGGTTTCTGTCCTCAACTTTACCCGCGAGTCGCGCCACACCAACAAACGTCGAAGGGTGGCCTCGAGTTGAAGGATGTAATTCGGGAAGTCGTTCCTCGAAATTCGTTCTTCTGTTCTTCGCTGTCGGTCGGCGTGGACTTTTACAGAATACATAAGCAAATTACCAAAACTCTGCGCCCCCCCTCCCCCCCCTCAACCAAGCACCGCCAACTTCTTGTGACTAGAAGGTTCTGTGACTTGTTCTATGTTGGTCCCGAATGAAGGTCCCAACCTGCCAAATACACCTTACTTGTTTACATAGCCTAAGCAAACCCCCGAATGTCAGAACCCAAAGGTTTCATCATTTCTTGAAAGCTTTGGATATCGTCCCCCCTTCTCCCGTGCCCGTTGTGGATCCGTTTTGTCCGATTGATTTTTTTTTTTGATCAATCGAACACCTACAGGGACCGCCTTGGTTCACCGCTTTTTCTGTCTCATCAATCGGAGCTGTTCACTCCGGAGAGTAAGGGGTATTATCACGGATATGACTGACATTACAGACTGCGGAAACTAGTCCTTTAGTCGAGTTACAACCTTTCTCAAGTGGACGTATCAAGAATGAAAAAATGACACGCCACCGGGCAGCATCCACCGATAAACCGGTGACCGG